GAAATACTAAAACAGTCTTCAGACTGCCTGAGACTCTTCAAACTGACCTAGCGATACATGAACACCCTGAAGATCACCAATCTATCCACATGAGTGAACATTCAAAGTTCCAGCCCCATTTTTAATATTAATCGATGATCATTGAAAACAAGAACTGCCATAGGACTTTGGATTTGTTAAAGATCTTCCTTGAATAACATTTACAATCAGTGTCGTACTCTCCATCAGTAGAATATCATCTAATTAAGATAAATAGAACAAATCACCTTCAAAGATCTTAAAATATGATTTTCTATCGACCTGGATCTTCTAATCATAGAAATACCTTATTACTAAGGTAGTCACAATAAAGATCTCTAGTGATCTTCGTAGGTCTTTCATATTTGTTTCAGGATGCAGAATCATGGGTTTCGTTGTGTTTCCGGTTTGTCCCATCAGTATCTTTTGCTTTTCCATTTTGGATGCGAAGGTTTTGCGCTGGCATTCCTGGTTTCCTCCTCCCTGTTTCTCTAGGATCATTGTATGTTCCTTAGAGTTTTCTATAACTGGATTTGAGAGGAAGTTAAGGGTTCAAGGTACGGTTTTTTCCGGATGGAATACTGCTTCCACTTCCTATTGTATTTTCTGCAGGATCAGGCGGGAAATCACCGGAAAGAAGCCGTTTCTAAACCGGTTCCGGAAGGATCTGAAGACCGGAATCATCGACCTGGGATATACGATAGAATTTTGTTTTGGGTTTCACTAGAGATTTTCGAATCAGACGCTCAACTAAGTTTTTAAAAAATAATCTATGTGAATTCAGACTATCATAAGATACTGAAACCCAAGTGAAATAAAAAATTATGATATAGTCACGTAATGCTTTCAATCATCGATAGCTAATGATAAATTTTCGACAAGCATTTTGATCCATTATTTGTATAATTTTCTTGTCTAGATTATATACTGTTTCAATTTTTTTCATACTAATTTGATTTTGAGATTTAGAGATAATTGGAATAAACGACAAAAAGCTACAACTGATTCATCAAATCGTTTTGGTTAAACCAGATGACTCTATTAAGTTTTCTCATAGAAGTTGTGAATATTTTGCTCGTATAAGTTTGAGTTTATTAGATACTACAGTTTATTTTGTTTATAATTATATGAATAATTATATATGTATATATACATCAATTGAAAATACAGCGAAGACAATATTGTTTTTTCACAATGGAACGATATTTTTGTTTTGATTAGTAATATGCAGAAAAGAGGCTAAAATTTTCAGTTCCGTATATTGTTTATAAAATGTCTAAAGAATTTATAGTGAATGGATTTCAACCTTAGTCTGGATAGTGTTCTATATTTTCATATATATTTAAATTTGTATAATCTAATAAAATTAACTTATTTCAACAGAATTTACTGTAAATTTAGCATAAAAATATTATGAAATTCAAATTCTCAAAAATTATATTTGAGCTGTTTCTGACTATATAGCCATCTTATAATTTTGATTGTATTAGTTAAGATAAATCTATGTTCTTATATTAGATGTTCGATATCGGTCTATGCGTGCATCCATCTCTGATCTATTCTTATTTTTCTCCCCTATAAACTAGGGTGTGGATCTAGAAGGGCATACACAATCGAACTAGACATAATCATAGAGTTATACGAACGTGTTTGTGTAGGATGTAGAGACATGATACAGGACATTACCTTTTTACTCATTTGGAATAAGTTAAGCGCAATTCCAATCGGCAACTTCTCTTAGGTCACAAATGTATAGAATGTCAATGACTAGCGCAGTGTCACTGATGTTATGTGACAGAAAAAAGAAAATCTCAATCCTCTTCTAGTGACAGAGTGATAAATCACTGACACTAACAAAGTTTTTCGTAGTATAATTTTTTCATTTTTATTGAATCTTCGGCAAAAAATCATTTCTCATTATAGATTTATTACCCTCAAGAGAATTTCATTTCTAAAGAATCTTCCCATAGTGGAAAACATTTTCCAGCGGAATTTTCTTGAATTAAAAAAATGATCTATTAAAAGAATTCTGCCCGATACTTTCGAACTTATCTCATATACGAGCTATTCGAGAGAAAGAGTGAGATTTCCTTTTATTCTTATCTTTTCTCTTCTAGTTAATATTCCTGCTAATGTCATAGAATAATTTATTTGCTTCATAGGAAAAGAAGCATAATCTGATACTCAAGTTTAAAGATAAAAATACTACTCGATAATATATCTGTGCCAAGAAGTACGTCACTCATGAAGGACTAGATTTAATAGGTGGTTATAGAAACCATCGGACCTCCACTTATAAATCATAGAGGAGCCAATAAACATATCGCAGTGACGTAATTAAGTTTACATCCTTGTGTATATGACATTAACATATAGTCGCGTACTGAACAGTACGTAATCTTTTCTCTCTCGCTAGTATATAAGCTCACGATATATCGGAAAAATAGAGCAGTACTATAAGTCAGAGAGTAGTTAAAATTTGAGTTGTTCGAAGAAATAGTTTATTAGAATGTAAATAGTGTTAGAGTTAACTTGTATTGAGAAACATATGCACCCTATTATTATCAGCGTAATATTGCTATCTTGTTTTATTGTAAAGTCATTATTGATTAAATTATTACAAGTTGGTATTGTCTAAAACATTCTTACATTAGTATTCTTGGTTGTGCTACTTACAAGTTTCGATTAATTATCTCGATACACACATTCCTTATCCATTCGAAAAATCAATATTGATATGTCGTTGCTAAACAACATTTTAATCGCAAATACTATAGGCTCTTTGCTTGTCATTTTTTTTGATCGTTTAATATGATCTACTTTCACAAAAGAAATAGATAGCGCTCATCACTTGAAACTTCCATTGAGTGATTTTTTAATGTCTCCTTGGGTTAACAAGATTTAATTATTTTAAGTTTGATTTTCTCGCAAAATATAGAATTTAAATACGCTTGAGAGAGAGAGAGAGAACGATATGCTACATGTGTGATTCTTTCTACAGAATGATCTTCCAGTATAGGAAAAACTTATTCTGAGGAATTTCCAAATAGAAAGAATAATCAATTCAAAGAATTTTGCTCGATACTTTTGAAATTATTTCATAAACTAGCTATAGTCGAGAGAGAGAAAGAGAGAGATCTCATTTGATTTTTATGTTTTCTTGCCTAGTTAATATTCCTGCTAATGCCACGTGGGCACAGGACGGAGTGACTATTGCTGGAGGCCACGGACAAGGGAATGTCACTAATCAACTCTTCTACCCTCTTGGTCTCTTCGTTGATGATGATCAAACAGTTATTATTGCTGACTACAATAATCATCGTATCATGCAATGGAAGAAAGGTGATACAACGAATGGGCAAGTTGTTGCTGGTGGCAACGGCAAAGGAAAAGGATTACATCAATTCAATGGTCCAACTGATGTATTAATTGACAAAGAGACGAATACTCTCATTATTTGTGATCGAGGGAATCAACGAGTTGTACGATGGTCTCGTCGTAGTGGTACAACACAAGGTGAAATACTCATCGATGACATCTGGTGTTGGGAATTAGCAATGGATGAACATAGATATCTCTACGTCTCTGACGTCGAAAAACATGAAGTAAGACGATACCAATTGGGTGAGAACAATGGCATTCTCGTAGCTGGTGGAAATGGACAAGGGGATGAACTCAATCAACTCAACGAACCGAGATGTCTCTTTGTCGATCGACAACAGAATGTCTACGTATCAGACCTCTACAATCATCGTGTAGTGAATTGGAGTAAAGGTGCAAAAGAAGGTGTTGTGGTCGCTGGAGGACAAGGCGGAGGAAGTGCTCTGACACAATTGTCTCATCCTGGAGGAATCTTCGTTGATACGTTGGGTACACTCTATGTAGCAGACTCGAATAATAATCGTGTAATGCGTTGGACTCAAGGAGCAAAACAAGGCACTGTGATTGTGGGTGGAAATCGTTATGGAGCAGGAGCAAATCAGTTCAACTCCCCCGTCGCTTTGTCTTTCGATCGATATGGTAATCTCTATGTCGCCGATCATTATAATCATCGTGTTCAACGATTTTCTATCGAATAAGACTGTGAATTGTTTTTTCTTTGTTCGTTTCTTTTTCTATGCTTTGAAATAAATGAACAAAAAACAAGAAATTTTCTTTTACTCTTTCGTTTCAAAGAAAAGAAAAAAGCTAAAATATAAGATTACGTCATATGTTTCTTTTCTTCTTCTTTTATTTATTTGTTAAATGAAAAAAATGAATTAAACAAAATAATTTGTTGTTCTCACAAAATATTTATTACAGAAATGAAAAGAAACATTAGTTTTTAAAGTATTTATTATTTAAATCAAAAAAAATTTGAGTTATTTAAAAATATTTATTTCAAGAATTAAAAAAAAACAAAAGTTACAAAAAAGTGAAAATTGTCTTCGGTAACCTACAGTCTGCCATATCATCAGGTTTAGCTGTATCTTTATTAACATTTGCAATACGAATGATATCGCATAGACCAGCTAAAATTTTTTTCACTGTTTCTGATCGCATTATTTCATGGGCAGCCAGTAAGATATTACAATTAAAAATGTATACAATTACACCAAATGTTCTATGAGAATTTGAAATATAAGATTCTGGCTTTGATTTCTTCGTATTGCATGATAAACGATGATAAAAATGAGTTCTTTTACCATTACGGAGTAATATATAGTCTTCATCTTCGTCTTCTATCAGATTAATTTGACTTGAGTGATTCACTTCCACATGATGAGTACAATATTCTCGACCAGGTAAAGGACTACGATCAAATCCTATGACAAAGTTTTGATATTCTGGAGTTTCAATTGCCTGTTAAAAAAATAAACATTCTTAAGAAAAAAATAATTTCACTTATTAATATAATTTTTATAATATTCTTGAAAAACTTCCGATCGTAAAAATAAAGTTTTAGGACACATTACGAAAAATATACGGGTGAAAATGAACCTTCAAAATGCTATATTAAATAGAATGCGAATTGATATATTGAAGCAATGTAATCGGCGACTTTTTTTATCATATACCAGATCTGGGTAACTCAGTGCAAAATAGGAGTCAATTTAATTCAATCCAATTCAACTAGCGTCATGGATTCAATTACATTGAGCTGACTTTCGTGGTTATGCCATGTATTGGTACGATGATATATTACATTTATTTGAGTTTTTTTATAAGATGACTGTAGCTGGAGAAACTATGATCCTTGAAAATTGAAATTGAAAAAAGACATCATGACGAATTATTATTTCCCTTAAGTTTATATACTTCCTACGTAATCGATAAGCCTACAATTACATTATAATCGGTTATAACACATTAGGTTTCAAATAATACATTAAAATTAATAAAATAAGCTGCATAATCATAAACGTGCACATATTGTTTCCATAGCGACTATAACAATTGATACAAATTTGAAAGAGAACAACTCACATTATTTGATTCTATATACAATAATATTTTGAGAATGAACTTTTTCGCTTGCCAAATGGGTATTTTATTTAACATTGCAGAAAAAATATTTTAAGTTACTTTTGTTCCAGTAAATTTCAGGGTACGAGAGTTGAACAAGGATTATTTAAGTAAAAGAATAAGAAATGCAATATCCGCGAATGAAATTTGCATATCATCCTTCTGATTTTTTGATTTCCATCTCCTACAATCATCTGAAAGCAATGCCTACCACAAGAAGCAAAATACTTATGTTGCGACCAGAAGTTCACAAATAAAACAGTATCAATATTTTTACCCGAAGATTTGTAAGGAAAATCCATCATAGAATAACGAGATTGGATGAAAGTCCCTTAAAACGAAAATTACAGATGTTCAAATAACTATTGTATGTAGCATTTATACTATGTATATTTTGTATGAAAGAAATAGAATGAAAGATTTTTACACACTACTGATACTAATAACGATTTCTGCTCGCTCATCTAAAAGGCGTTGACATTGTATATAAGCCAAATGACACATATAACCAGTCAAGAGGGAAAATATTATGGATTTCTCAATAACAGTGTAACCATGATATCTCCATTGGGAAGTCTATACTAATTAGTCCGTTTCATATAATTTGCGTTTTGACATATTTTGTTTTGATGGCAGAAAATAAGAAAACGTTGTTGACGCAAAAGATATACTTAAACTGTGTATGGAGATGATATGTATAAAGCATTACATGTGATGCAGAAACTTTCATCAATTATTTAATATAACCATTTCTGATAAATACTGACACACCGACGAAACATGTTTTATCCTGTTTTACTACTGCTGGTATTTTCATTCTTAAGCCGAGTGAATAGCCGAAAAATCGATGCCTACGGTAATTTAAAGTATTTATAATTAACGAAGGAGACAAATGTTTTAATATCTCATTGAAAAAATGTTTTTTCTTCCATTATTGAAAATCAAAAAATTCTCAACATTTAGCACACAGTTTCTTGTAAGAAAGTGAATAGTATCTTAAATTTGTGTAACTCTAGGATTCATCATCGACGAAATATATAGATTCGAACTGGAAAAGATTTTCTCCGAATGACGTAATAAACATTTAAAAATTAAACATTTAGATAAAAATCAGAGAGTAGAGGAAAATGAAAACATCAAAATAGAGGAATATTATGAAGATTAATACTAAACAGAATTATATTAAGAAATCATCAGATGACTATCGTATTTTTCTTTAAATCAAAAGTATTACAATTCTTAAGGGGTAAATTTGAACTCCATATGATTGCACAGACGGTGATTTTCAACTGGCCTGTATTCTCGAGTTAGATGTGATGAAAAAAATAAACGTTTATATCAGTCATTTCAAAAAATATAGATCAATGAAATAGTACAAGGTTAATACAAAGAAAATTTGATTTGTTACGTAATAGAAGTCAAGGTTGCTAAGAAGATATCAAATTTTGTTTAAAAATCAATTTTGATCCCCTTGAACTTTTATAATCATTGAATAAAAATATCGCTGTGATACTTGAAATCCATTTAATTCTGTTCAGATGTCTTTATTCGTGACCGACATGCAAACAACCGGTTCCGCAACACAAGCATCGAAGATGGTGAAGTACAACGACCATATCATCGTATCCGCCGTAACGCAGGTGGGAAATAGAACTATTTATGAATTTCTGGTAAAAATTACAAGAAAATTGTTTTGCTTGACATACAGATGCTAATTACAATGAGACAAAATGCAGACCAAGATTATTGTTTTCAAAAGCAATGCAAGTGCGAGAAATCTGTTGATTAGCATGTATAGTTTGGGTTCTAGTCTGAATTGAGTTTCTTTTCTCGATTTAGTTGATTGGCAGCAGTTGAAGATTAACTGAGTAAATGCAACTTTTCTTGAGAAGACAAATATTTAAGATAGTTTTGATATTCGACAAATCTTGCTGCTATAAGGTATACCTGACTCGATTTTCGCTTAAAAACCTATACTGTATATAATAAGCTAAGTGTACGTAGGTTTTATGATCATTGATCACAAATCGAAAGAAGTGATCCCACATAACATACTGCTTCTAAATACATCATTAGCAAAAGTGTTGAAAATTGAGTAAAACAACTCGAGTTCAAAGGTTTATAAGCAATCATTATGTTACAAGTAATACTGTATACATCATTAAAAAAGCTTGAACTCTAAAATGAAACGTGGTAGCTCTTACGAACTTTTCTACAAGAAGTCATTCATGAGACTTTATGGTTAGAACATACTTGAGTGACGACATGTAATAATTCTTGAAAATCACTGCTTAATTCAGTTAGAAAAAAAAGTGTTCTATGTTTTGAATAGAGAATTGCTACCACGATAGCAAAGACTGCACAAATTTACAGAATCTCAAGCTTCTTGTAAAAGTTGAATTTTTCGGGTAATACGCATGTAGCGTTACTAAAAATCGAGTGCTACCTTATATAAGATTATATTAGGAAGACTTTTTTCTAAGACAAAACAAAAAACATTGTTTCATTCAGCTTTCAATATTCGTGCCAATTGTCTAGGTGCATGGGTGCCGAGCTCAATCTTCTCTACACCCACTCACATTCTGAATTTTCTTTGAGAATCGATCTGAGTAAATGCTTTGATAGTTAGCATTGACTCCAGAAAGTTCTTAGAATTCATTATGTAAACTCCATCGCAAAAAATCAAGGATCATTCTGAAAAGATGCACAGCTCCTAGGTCATCATATGAATATGTTTCAGTCGAGGTAGCGTCATTTCACAAACCTAATGGTATCATATTCATTCAAAAAGAGATGTACATTCAATCACAGAAATGTTGTCTCTTCTTTTTTTCAGCAACTATCTCCGACAAGCAGCCCAGCTATAAAAACGTCTTAACCAGGAATAGTCCCAAGTTTTCGCGACCCGGCGGTGGGGGACTCTCTTACTATTTCATGGCGATTCAGGTGGCGGCGTCAACTAGCGCCTCTTACACATTGGTGTGCGACAGTCGTATGGACACTTACGGATACCTATATACTTTACCATTCATTCCAAGCAGCCCACAATCGAATCTAGTAGTAGCTGAAGATGACGGTGGCTCTCAAGGCAATTTTCAGATCACAGCGACTTTTACGGTGACTCAATCCATGATCCTCGTTATTACAACATACCATCCTGACGATATAGGAGAATTCAATATTTTAATTCACGGTCCCGCACAATTAAGCTTAACACCGTATATTTCCACATCAAATATCGTAACGAACACCAATGAAGCAACCAGCGTACACACTACTGCAACAACTACTACAACTGCTGCTACTACTACAACTTCTACGACTACTACAACACTCATGATTACAACAGCAACTACAGTAACCACCAAACTAGCTACTAAAAAAAGTACTAAAAGAACTACGAAAAAAGCCATTAGACCAATTATTACAAAGGCAACTACAGTTACAGGTAGGTGAAACTGAGTGCCAGTTTGAATGATTTATGAGTCTTTTTTACGGTAGGCTGCTAATTTTTAAAGCATATTTATGAAAAGAAATACATGAAGCATAATGAAAACTACGAAAATAGCTATAG